GGAGCACAATAATGAGTTCAGATTTTAGAGTGTTGTTGTGAGGCAAGGGGACACTGGCTGTGGGTGACGCTAAAGCATAGCTGTGACAACTGAAGCCACGGACCTAGCGGGGCCTCTGAGGAAAGAATAAATCATCATTGTGAAGACCACACTGCGGAATACCCACAGTGAGCAGGTGAGTGAAGGAAGAAAAGCCAGCAAAGGAAGCAGAAAACTTACTAGAGATGTTGGAGGTGGCCAGAAGGATGCAGAGCCCAAGGAATGGCAAGCTGGGACACCAGTGAGGTTGAACAGAAAGGAGAGAAGTGGTCGAAGGGCCCAAGTCGCCTCCCAAAATGTAGCCTGATGTTAGTCACACTGCTTGAAACTTTATGGTTATGCCTCCATCAGCAGGAAGAGGGTGAGGCACAACTGCCTTTCTCACTATTATCTGAATTACTGTGGTGTAATCAGATTGCTCCGCACTTAGATTTTAGGAAGGAGATCATCTACAGAGGCAACTGCTGTTAGTAGAAGTGTGGAGAGGAGAGGAAGTGAGAAAGGTAATTTTGGAGTTCTGGATGCTTGGGGCTACTTTGAGGAATTTCTGGATAGCCAGAGGGCAGCATGCTGGTCCCGGGTATGGGGAAAGAAAATGGGGCTCTAAGCAGCTCTGAGAAGGATGCAGACGGTGGAAGAAAGACACCAGTGACAATTTGCAAATCCTAAGAGGGAAGACTCTGATATTTCCCCTTCTTCCTAGAAACAAAATGAAAAACAACTTCTCTCTTTATAAAAATTGGAAGGAGACAGGACAGAATTACTACTAATAATAATTAATGTAATTATTATAAAGCACACCATGTGCTAGGGCCTGTTCACATTAAGAACTTAGTCCTTATGACAACCTGAAAAGGTAGGTGCTGTTATGTGCAGCTTACAGATGTGCAGTGCCTGGGGAGGACGGGCAGAGAGGAGCCTCTCTAGCTGGAAGCCTTCCTTCTCCCAGAGATCCCGAGATCTCTAGCCTGGGGTTGGGGGACAGACAGACAAAACTTGGCCATGGGGTTTCTGATCAAACCTCTTCTAGGAGGCAGAGGGGGAAGAGGGGCATTACCTGACATTGCCCAATTAGGGGACATGAATGTCATCCATAGCCTGGGTCTGTCTCTAGACCTAGATTTTAAATTGGGAGGCCAGGCATGGTGGTGTACACCTGTAATCCCACCACTCAGGAGACTGAGGCAGGAGGATCACTATGAGTTCAAGGCCAGCCTGGACTACATAATGAGACTCTGTCTCAAAAATTTAAAAAAATAAAGTAAATAAGGAGAATAATAACAGTGTAGACACTGAACTTGGAGTCTGGACCTCACTGGGTGACCTTCCTTCTCTCTTGGGTGCACAATTCTCAACTATGAACGAAAATACTGGATTAGAGTTAAATCTCTGAGGTTCTTTCCAGCTCAAAAACTATATAAACTCTAAACCCGGTTGTTGGGTGTGACAAATTATGATCTCTCTCCCACTGCATATGTTCTAGAGTGTGGTATTTTAGGTCTGAATATGCTACTGTCTGCTGCCTGTACGTGTGTGTTCCATATATATGACAACAAGTTTTGGTTTGTGAGTAAACATGGGATGCTTTGTAGTTTTCTTCAGGAAAGATCAAATAGCTCTGGGAGGCAGTAAATCCAAAAATTGCTGACTCAAACCACAGTGGGAAGGCAAATGACTCCACAAAAGGTTTTAATCTGAATTTTCATTGGCACAGTCATTTTGTTTTTTTCTATTCTTTTTACAACTGCTCTGGCTTGTGTCTAGATGTCCCCTCAAAGTCTCACGCAGCATTAGGTGGGGCTTTTTCAGAAGTGGCTTAATCTAGAGTATGTGATTGATTCATGGTGTAATACTAGGATTAAGAGTGCTAGGATAAAGGGTGGGTGATTACTAAATCAGTCCACGGATTGGTTTGGCACTGCCTTAACAAGGTAGCCTAGACACAATATAAGGGACAGAAAGAGGCTTGTCTCACCTTCTTGTTTGCTTTGCTACCACCTGCCTGCCATGAACTCTTCTCCTCTGCTATTCCACCCTTTCTTGGAGCCAGCTGATTTTGGACTGAAACCTCTACAAACTGTGAGCTAAATAAACCTTTCCCCCTTTAACTTTGAGTGTTGGGTATTTTGTCTCAGCAACGAGAGGATAGTAAGACAACAACCAAATCTAATTAAGTGTTGACATTAACCCTATGAGATGACACAGGTTTTTATAGAAAAGAAAAGAGACTCAGATTAAATGACTTGACCATGATCATAAAGTTTGTTAGAGTCAGAGCTAGAACAGGCTTCCAATCCCTGGCTTGTGTGTTCTTCCCACTACTGTGCTGGGTGTGAGATAAAGGCCTATGAATGAGAAACAAAGGGCTGTGATTCTAGAAGGTAGCACGGATAGCCTCTGTCCACAGCATACAGGTGGGCTTGTCTGCCCTTTTCCCACTCTGCAGCTTACTGGCTGCAGCTTTCCCTCATTCAGAGCACAGACTTACAAGGCTTAAAGATAAAGGCAAAAAAAAAAAGATAAAGGCTACTTCAAGAGCCATGGATGGTGATTAATTGGAAAGTCAGAGGGTAAGGAGAAAAAGTAATAACATTCAGGAGACTCTGGCAAGTTGTGAAAGATGTTTACTTTTTCCCAGGGCTCAGGGATGTGATCATACCATCTCTCAGGGTTGTTGTGAGAATCCAAGATAATGAGGTTAAAAGCCACACATAGGTTTTTTGTTTTGGGGGTTTTTTTTGTTTGTTTGTTTGGTTGGTTTTTTTTTTTTTTTTTTTTTTTTTTTTGAGACTATGCAGCTCAGGCTGACCTTGAGCTCACTTTGTAGCCCAGGCTGGCCTCAAACTCACAACAATCCTCCTGCCTCAGCCTCCCGAATGCTGGGATTACAGGCATGGACCACCACACCTGGCTTAGATTTTCTCTTTCATTCAACCATTTCATTTTAGCATTTATTGAGCACAAACAAGATCCCAGGAACTATGCTGGAAATTGGAGGAATACTAAGACAAAGACATAAGAAGTGAGCTTGGAATCACATTACATATATTTTTGTCATTTTTTTTTTCCTATTTTTGCCTCTTCTTGTCTAGGATCATATAAAGGAAGATGGGCCTTGTAGTTCAATCCAATTTCCCAGCCTCTTTCACAGAGAATTTTTGCTATCAGCCAACCTTCAGGCTTATATTCCACTGGCCGAGGTATACCTTGTCTATAGTGCATTCAGCAAATCACTGCTTCACTTACTATAGCCAGGTATCATTTTAGGTGTTGGGGATACAAAGGTGAACAAACAAGGTCCCTGCCCTCATGGACCTCCCTGTTACCCGGGAAGGCAGACATCAAACAAATCAATACACAAATGAATATATATTCACAAATAATAGTGATGGTGTCAGGTGGTGGGAAGAGAGAGAAAAAAAAACAAAAACAGTTTAAGGACTTCTCCGGGGAGGCACAAAGCTGAGGCCCTTGAAGGATGAGAAGTCAGCCACAGTAATCACCTGAGTAGAGGACTTCCAGGTGGAGGGAACACTATCATCAAAGCCCTTGAGGTGGGAGGGAACATGGTGTCTTCAAAGCAGTAAGGCAGAAACTCAGAGCGAGCAGGTCAGTGGTTCTCCATGACTCTGGAGTGACAGAGGCAAGATCACGCTAGGCCTTGGAGGCTGAGGTAGGGGATTAGCGGTCAGTGCACTGCACTTCTGACACCTTCCGTTCTCTTTTCCCAGGGAAGTGAAGCTGGCTTGTTCTGCTAGTCCTATTATTCCAAGATGCTGGTAAAAGGCTGGTGCTTAGAGAAATCTGGCATAGGACAGACCATCAAAGAATGGTCAGCTTCAGCTCCTTCTCTTTAGGCAAGGAACCTTGAAACTCAGCTGACCCCAGAGCCTATAGGATCATTAGACTTGTTGCATGTGAGCTCCATTTACTCAAATAGCTAGCATCTCTTGGGGTGGATTACTGACTTACAGTTTGTGGTTGTTTTTTTTTTTTTTTTTTTTTGAGACAGGGTCTCACTATGCAGTTCAGGCTGGCCTTGAGCTCACTTTGTAGCCCAGGCTGACCTCGAACTCGTAACAATCCTCCTGCCTCAGCCTCCCAAGTGCTGAGATTACAGGAGTGCGCCACCACAATCATCTCTGATTTACAATTTAAAACCTAGGAGGTGGTTAGGCGTAACCTGGGATTGCCATGAATTAGAGGCCAGGCTGGGTTTCCTACTGAGTGCCAAGCCAGCCTGAACTACACAGTAAGATCTTGGCTCAAAAAAACAAAAAGAAAGAGAGAGAGAGAGATTGAAGAGATTTGTTCCAAAATTTATGTCTAAGAATTTTCATTACAAGGTTATATACTATCACGTAGTTAGAAACAATGTAAATATCCAACCTGGATTACAGAATCATACCACGGCCCCACCTTCATGATGGGGTAGTGTTTGAATGAAGTTTCTGAAGCCGAGTAATGACTTCTGGAAAGTCTCTAAATACCATTTAAAGGGAATATGCCAAAGAATCGTTACAATCTAATAGGTCACACGCCGGTGGGAACAACGAGGCTGGGGGCAGGGGAAGAAGGAAGGAGCCTCTGGGGCACCCGACTGAGTCTCAACGCCTCGGGAGGAGCTTCCAGGTGGAGGGGAAGAAAGGACGAGGTAGAGAGGCCCGAGCTCTGAGGAAGACTAGGAAAGTAACATGCCTCTTGAGAAAGCTCACCGAGCTATACCTCACAACCGTCAGGTGGGCAGGCCTGCTGTCCTTCGATAACGGGGTTGGAAAGCCGCGCGTGTGAGCAGGATGGTTGCTGCCCTCCCATCGGAGAAGCAGGATGCGGAGCGCCGGGTCGCTGGAGCAACGCTCAGCCCCCGCCTGCGCAGCTCAGGCTTCCCCTGGAGCCAAATAAGTCCCAGGGCCAACGTGGCTACCCAGGCCTGCGCCAAAAAAGGAATCACAGTGTCTACTGCGCAGTAGCGCGCAAGCGCAGTCGGCCTGCTGAACTGGCGGTGTGAAGTTTTACACCCTGGAGGATGAAAGGTTTGTGAGGCTTACCTGGTTTAAGAGAGTGACTTGGAGGTAAAGAGGCTCGAGTTGGGGAGTCAATACTGGGCTGAGACCCCAGCCTATGATGAGCACCCCCTCTGAGCTCGTTGCCCTGGTCCTCCAGGCCACCGGCCTCCCAGGTGTGTGCCTGGTGCTTTCAGATCCCTGGGTCGCCCAAGCCCCACCCCGCAGCATTCCCTCCCCACTTCAGTGCCTGATCAGCCTCTGCCATCCCAGCTGCCCCACTTGGAGGGCCAGAGGTCCGGTGGTTTGGGAAGCAGAGGGTGGGGGAAGAAGAAGCAAATGCCTGGCCTGGGTGCAAGGCCTTGGTCTTTGCCTCCGCCTGGCTTCTGGGCATCTGACTTCCTTAGGCCGTGCACAGTACAGTCTGAATTATTTCTCTCCTGGCCATTGTAGCTCTTCCCATATCCCTCATCCAACCTGTTTAGGGGCTGGGGATGCCCAACTTTTAAAAACCCAACCCTGACCAGGGACAGGTGAAGGGCTGTATACTTATGTAGGAACCCTGGGTAAAATCAGGCTTTTCCTTGGCTTCAAGCTCTCCTGACTTAGGCCTCTCTAGGCTTGGGGTGACTGGAGGTCTAGGCAGCTGGAGGATGCTGGGAAATGGGTGGGCAAGATGTTTCCTCTTCAGAATTTGAACTTGAATGCTTTCCTGGTCACCTGTACTATCCTGCCAGTCACTGCCCACTCACTGCTGTTTTCCTTGTCGTTTTGGCCCAGAACATGTCTCATGTGGACGAAGCAGCCCGCCGGCTGTCCAAAAGTGGGACAACCCTCTATGCAGTGCTAGAACTTAAGAAGGGTGCCTCACCTGAAGACGTCAAAAAGGCCTACAGGTTCAGACCCTAGTCCTTGACTGAACTCTAGAACTTCCCCCTTTTCTTTCTGTTTTGCTTTCAGGCCCTTGTTTAGAGATCTCTGGAAGCCTTTACTTGGGACTGAAGGAGGCCATCGCCCTCTTTAGGGTGGCATGGGAAGATATTTAGATCTTGGCTGCTTCCTCCGTCCTTTGCACCACACCCCATGCATTCCTCAGCACTGTCTAGAGACCCATCCCTCCATTCATGCTCACCCTCCATCCCCAGCCATTTCGTATCCCTCCCGTCCTCCTTGTGGGTAGGAGACTGGCCTTGCAGTATCATCCAGACAAGAATCCAGGAGATGCTCAAGCTGCAGAAATCTTCAAAGAAATCAACACAGCTCATGCTATACTGAGTGATCCTACGAAGCGGGAAATCTATGACCGACATGGCTCATTTGGAATATACCTATATGATCATTTTGGCGAAGATGGAGTTAGAAACTATTTCATAGCCAATAGTTGCTGGTTCAAGGTACACAGCTCTTCCTAGTCCCTTAAGACTCAGGAAGGAGGGTGACCTTCCTCTCCTAGGACAGATTCTCTGGGTGTGAGGACGTGAGAGGGAGGGAGCATAAATGGAAATACAGAACAGCTAGACTGAGGCCTCTCTGCTACCTTTCAGACACTCGTCCTCCTATGTGTACTGCTCACTTGTTGTTGTTGCTGCTGCTGCTGCTGTTTTTGCTGTGGAACACTCAAACCACCACCCGAGGAGGCGAATGGGCCGAAAGGTCAACAGAACGTCCGGAAACAACCTCCACGATCAGGTGAGGACCAAGGGAGATACTGAGGTCAGATCTGGATTAGCAACGAAAGAAAAGGTTGGGGATGAGAAAGACCTGAGAAAATGGCAAGTTAATTCCTAACTCTGGCAGGTTCAAGTCCGGCATTGGGGCAAAATGAAGAAAAAGGAGATCGATAATATTTCTGAGTGCCTTATGCCATGAACTGGCAGTTTGAATGTAGCCTTGGTGGCTTCTGACTGCTAAGCTAAGGAATGGGGTGAGACACCTTTCCTAGAAATGGCAGTAGTTGAAAACAGGTTCAAGCATGCAGTTTATTGTACCTACTCCAAAGAAAGATGAGCTGGGAGTATAGTTCAATGGTAGAGAACTCACCTACCGTGCACAAGGGCCCAGGTTTGCAAAAAAAGAAGGAGGAGGGAAGAAGGATAAAATCTGAGATTATTCCCATCCCAAATGGGAGGAGATGTCACCTGAAGTTCACACCAGTGCCATCTTAAAATGCTCACTGAACATCTGCAAGGTAACAGTTTCCTCATCTGCAGACTAAAAACTTGTTATTAAATGCTGATATATGTAAACATATGTATAATTCCATCACAGGAGCAAAACATCATTTTGGAAAGGATGAAGATAGTGAAGATTATTAATACAATAGGAAGAAGGGTGAGGTATGTAAACTGAAAGGCAGCAGTAAGTGAAGGATAAATCCAGGCTTAGTGGCACACTCCTGTGTTCCCAGTGCTCTGAGGCAAGAGGGCTGCAAGTGTGAACACAGCTTGAGCAACTTAATAACTTAGTTATTAAGTTTGAGACCTTATCTCATACTAAAAAACAAAAACGGGCTGGGGATGTAGCCCAGTGGGAATACCTTGGATTCAATCCTCAGCACCACTAAAAAAATAAATAAGAGAAGCCTAAGCTAACATCAGATGGGTCATTACTGGAAAGTCTGTATCCTCATAGAATGGACTCCAGAGGGTTATATCTTTATAAAGAGAGGATTTGCCTTAAATTCTAGGTGATTATTTCTTCGGGTTAATACAGTGCCAACTTCTTCTGCCACTAGGTGCTGGCCCAGTGAGGGTGCCCTCTGCTGCCCAGTCCACTGGCCACATTGGAGAGAGGAACAAGTAGCCCTGTCCTGACTCTGACTCTAACTTGATTCCCCTTCTTATAAGAATTCCTCCTTCAGAAGCATTGATGCTGACCATCCAGTAAGGATACCACTTCTGGCTGTCATCCTGGCCCTACAGGGTCTCCAGCGACTCTTTCTAGCTCCAGTCCCACTTTAATCTGTCAGCAGTACTGCATCCGTACCTGCATGAAGCCTCGGGCAGTGACGGCAAACTTTTCCTGAGGATTCCTTTTCTGGTGCCTGCCTTGGCATTTGGGCCGGTGTTAGGTAGGTGCCTGAGTCACCTGCAGTACCTCCACCAAGGTCCTGGCCATTGAGCAGGGCAGATCCTGTTCTTAGAGCTTCTACACCAGTAAGTCCTCCTTTGTTACAACACTGGGTATCAAGAACTCCCGGCATCCACCGCATTCCTAAACCAATACCCTTTTCTGAGGCTGCTGTCATCTTGTTCTGGTGCCCATAGCATGGGCACTGCAGCCTCACCTAGGCCACCACGAGCCAACTTGGGAAATGAGTGCCTCTGAGTCTTGCAGATAGCTACCTCGCCCTGGATCCTCCCTGGACTTCAGTTCCTGCCCAGCCCCTGTGTTAGTCCTGGTCCAGTGGGTGGAGTGCAGTCCCTGATTCAGTGCCTGCTTGTCTCCATCCTTACCACATCTTACCCAGGCTCCACCGTACATAGGGTTGGTTCTTAAAGCAGGGGCATGAGGCGCGACAGGAGAAAGACTGCGCTCTGCAGACCCTTCCCCCACTCTCTCGTCTTCGTGCGGCCTCCTCGGCATCCCCCCCATACCATTTATTTCTCATCTGCGTGGAATCCTAGGGATGCCTCAAACTTCTCTCCCCGCGCTAGGAGAAAGGCCAAGGAATGTCAGTAAATAAAAACGATTTTATCTTACTTCATTGCATGGATTGGGCCCAAAAAGACACATTGTGTCTGGAATAGAGAAAAAGGCCAACAGGAGGAACAGACAGAAAGTCCAGTGCTCACATCTGGGACCAGCCTGGTGTGGAAAGGAGCGTCCAGGACAGCTGTGGAGCTGGGGCCAAAGCTGCCCGGAGCCTGGTGACTGGCTTGCTCAGAGCTCTGAGATGCCTGGAAACTGATTTCCTGGTGCCCGAAATAGACCCCTGGCATCCAGATCCTTTCTGCCCACCTCAGCTTCTCCCAATTTCCAAACAAATTGAAAGTCCTCCGAGTGGCTCCAGCGATGTGTTTGTTTGTGGACTAGAACTGCACACTTTGTAGGGGTGTCAGTTCCAGGCCTAGCGCAGCAGTCACCTTTCCTCTGATAGAGGGCAAACAGGCTAGAAGTCTGGGAAAGAGGCTGTCTCTCCAGTCTGTGGTGCCCCTCTTCTGAATCACACGGACTTGGGGAAGGGGGAGGTCACCAGCAAAGCCTGTGGAGGAGGAAAGTTGCTGTCGGGCTGGCAGGATCTTTCCTGTCAGCTGAGCAATCATAGTGCCTCCCCGACCAGCTGAAGAAGGGCCCAAGCCCGGGCACAGGGCTGGGGCCCATAGGAGCCTGCTGGGTGATCGCAAGGGAGAGACGCATGCCTCTGCTGGCCCACCTTTCACCACGAGCAGTGACTGTCACCCCTGCTCTTGCTCAGAGTGAGTGAGTCAGGGTCACTCCCTCTGTGACAGCTGTGGCTCGCCTTACATGAGCTAAATTGGGCGTTGGAATGTCACACAGATGCCCCTTGTCTCCCCACCCCCACGGTAATATTAATCTCTTCCCTGAGGAGTGAGGGACAAACAGTGCTGCCCACAGAGTGAGTGAGACAGTGGTTTGGGGGACAAAAAGAGAATTTCACAGGGTGGGAGGGATAGAGCTGCATGTGCCTGGCAAGAGTTCCAAGGAAGGGACAGACTGAAGTGTCGAGACGAGCAGGGACAGGCAGTTGTTAGAGGAAGGGACAGGAGCTAGAGCAGCACCATTTCAGGAGGGAGCAACAGAAGGGAACCCAAGAGTCCGCACCGCCCAAGGTGACGAGGAAGGGCCCAGAGGCAGCGAGACAAGGCCGGAGCAAGGGCCACAGCCGGGTCAGGCACCAGCACTGAGGGATGAACTTCACAGTGGGTTTCAAGCCGCTGCTAGGGGATGCGCACAGCATGGACAACCTGGAGAAGCAGCTCATCTGCCCCATCTGCTTGGAAATGTTCTCCAAGCCCGTGGTGATCCTGCCCTGCCAGCATAACCTGTGCCGCAAGTGTGCCAACGACGTCTTCCAGGTGGGTCGGGCCGGGCAATGGCGCACACTAGGGGAGACCCGGGAGAGTGGCAAGCGCTTGGGGTGCTTGGGAGGCGGGCGGGGCTGCTGTGCCTGGGGAGCAGGTGAGCTGGGTCCCTGATCCCAGAGTAAGCATGAGTCAGCAGCCGCCCTGCGGGCTGGCAAGTCCCACCTGTGCCAGCACGGGAAGCGGATCAGTCCGCAGGGGAATGAGGCCCCTGCAGAAGCCGGGCAGGGGGTCTTGCTCCTGGCTCTGTAGGAGCCGCACTACCTTCTGTGTTTGGGACTTCAGACTTTGACAGTCCTTGTGGAGAATCTGGAGCGGAGATCAGTGAAATACTAAACACTTGAAGATAATAATAAAAACCCCTAAGAGGAAGATTGTAAAGCTCACGGCGCCCATTTTGGGGGCAGAGTGATATGGTGGGGAGGTGAGGGGAAATTCTAACAGTTCACACCGAGATCCCTCCAGACTGTTCAGGAAAGAGGCCCATGGGCTGAAAGGTCTGAGGTCACTTGACAAAGACAGAAAAAATGTTCCCAGAAGCGCAGCCAGTTTGGAAGTCCATGTGGTCATGGGGCAGAGCAAGCTAGGAAAAATCGCAGGTATTTTGGCCACTGATTTCATTTTTATTTTGTTTCATTTTTTATTAATTTTATTGGTACATTGTAGATAGAGACATGTCGCGATCACATGCACCATCGGGGACTTGTAGCTGTGCACACTCTGTCCTGCTGCTGCTTTTCCCCGTCCTCTCCCCACCCCTCAACCCCCTTCCCTCTCCTCATTTACAAAAGCTTTGTTTCCAGTTTTCCTTCTTCTCTCATTTTTTTCTTGTCCTTTCCTTCCTTTCCCCCCTCCCCCCTCCCTATTTGTCCTTCCCATTTGAACATTTTCTTCCTGTTTCACAATACCTACTATACTGTGGTCCTTATTTGTACTTTGGTTTCTCACAGCAGAGGAACAATGAGATATTTACACGTGTGTCTGATTTATGTCACTTAAGAGTATGGTCTCACCAGCCTTGTAATCCCAGCACTCTGGAGGCTGAGGCAGGAGGGTCTTTGCGAGTTCAAGACCAGCTTGGGCTACAAAGTGAGCTCAAGGCCAGCCTGCATTGCATAGTGAGACCCTGTCTCAAAAAGACAAAAAAAAAAAAAAAAGTATGGTCTCAAGGTGCATCCATTTACCTAGAAATGCTGGACGTGGTGGCGCATGCCTGTAATCCTAGCACTTGGGAAGCCGAGGCAGGTGGATCGTTGCAAGTTCAAGACCAGCCTGGGCTACAAAGTGAGCTCAAAGCCAGCCTGAACTGCAGAGTGAGACCCTGTCTCAAAAAAAAAAAAAAAAAAAAAAAAAAAAGTCAGGAAAAAAAAACCAAAAAACCCCAAAAAACCATTTACCTAGAAATGTCTCAAGCTTATCCTCCTTTATGGCAGAGTAGTACTCCACTGTATAAAAGAATCACATCTTTATCCATTCTTCAGTTGGTGGGATATGGGATGTTTCCAAGATTTAGCTATGACAGACTGTGCCACTATAAACATGTGTGCATATATCACTGTGGTATGATGCTTTGAATTCTTTTGGGAAGATACCAAGCAGGGGAGTAGGTGGGGAGTCCCCACACTGACTTCCACAGTGGTTGCACCAGTCTACACTCTCACCAACAGATGGCCACTGATTGTAAAGATAAAAGCAGCATATTGTTATAAATGGGCTTCTTTTCTTACCCAGTGCTGCCGGTGAAGGCTCAAGTAGATGACAGACCTGAGAGCTTGGAGAACAGTGGGAAAAGGGGTGTGGGGGTGGGGTGGGGGGGTGTGCACACGCGTACATGCAAGCCCCTGCAAAAGAGGTAAACGCTGAATAGGGTGCAGGTCAGTGATCAGAAGGTCATGAGCGTCAGAGATTTTGAGGGAATGTGTCAAACACAAGTAATCCCCCTGCCCCTGGTGGTAGTAGGAATCAAACCCAGAGCCTTACAGCCTTATACATGCTAGGCAAGAGATATACCACTGAGCTACACCTCCAACCCCAACACAAGTTGGGTTTTTGGGTTTTTTTGTTTGTTTGTTTTTTCTTTCCTTGGTTCTTGAGATAGCATCTTGCTATATATCCCAGACTGGCTTCCAGCTCACGGTGATCCTCCTGCCCCAGGCTCCCAAGTGCTGTGATTACACGTGTGAGCCACCATGCCCAGCCACAAGTGGTTTTTAAGCAAGAAAATATTTCTCTTTTAGGTTCCTTGAGACAGCATATTTGGGGGGAAATGGGGTAGCTAGATCAGGCCATCACAGGCTGAGCTCCTGACCCACACCTTTTCTGTCTTCTGTTTGCCATCTCCACAAAGTGCCCCCACTCCACATCCCTCCTGCCATTTGTACTGAACATTATCTGCTCACACCAGCTGCAAGTCCCATCTGAGAGGCTGCGCCTTGCCAGCCTCCTTGGTTCTTCCTTTGGTCTAAGTAACTCTGTACAGCCTTCAGGCTGAGGTGCCCCAGTGAATGGCAGAAAGATTTTGTCACCCTTTCCCATGAATTTATAGTGAAACATCCTATCATTAAATCTGGAATATATGTATCAAAGAGAAGTTTGGAAAACTAAGGTAATGTGTCCTGTTTAAAAAAAAAAAAAGCCAGAATATTAAAGTGCAAGCCACGTAGTGTCACCTGGCAGAAGGGCGGGAAAAGGTCCAGAGACAGAGGCTGAAAATGTTTCAGTGACCTTCTTTGCTTGAGGCGCACCATTTGGGTTCCAAGAAGCTCTAGAATATTAAT